CCCTGTTTTAATTTTACTTCTTTTTTTTAAAATATATTTTATTGATTTTTCACAGAGAGGAAAGGAGATGGATAGAGAGTTAGAAACATTGACGAGAGAGAAACATCGATCAGCTGCCTCCTGCACACCTCCCACTGGGGATGTGCCCGCAACCAAGGCACATGCCCTTGGCCGGAATCGAACCTGGGACCTTTCAGTCCGCAGGCCGATGCTCTATCCACTGAGCCAAACCGGTTAGGGCTAATTTTACTTCTTGATCTACATACATTCCACCAACATTCTTGACTTTCGGCTTAATGATGAGTAAGAAAGAACTGAGAAGGACCTATGAGTCACTCTATTGCTCTCTTTCCTTTCTATGTCATCACCTTCAGTGAAAGAGTCTGGCAAATACAGGGGAATTCCATGAGTAAAAATAATAAGATTCCTAACTTGTTGATGTTTCTTAGAGTCCCATTGCCCTCTTTTTCTGTTCAAAGCACATTTTGGTTCAGACTGAAAGTGTAGACTCTTTCAGCATCCCTAGATTACTCAGTTTTAAATGTTACCTGAACTCACTTTCAGTCTTGCGGAACCTGCCTGCATCATGGGTCCACCATAATTCTGTGCTCACGGGGCATCACAAATGAAGGGGGTGACAAGGAATGACAGATGTGCATATTGTGTATCCTCACTTCTCCATTGCCCCAGGGAACCTCTCTGACAAAATGCATGTGCTAAGAGAAGTTCTGAAGAACTTCAGGTGGCCACAGCAGAGCATTCATCTAGGTGCGGAGCCCTCTGAGGGCACAGGTTTTATGTCCATGAATCTGGCCCTGCCTGAGAGATGCTCATAGGTGTGATGAAGGAGAAAGGTTCTATAAAACAAACTGTGAAAACTTTCTCTAATCTCTTAGGTCCCTCAACCACTTACTGATCTTCTAGGACCAAGTCTTTAAATCCTGCTCAGAAATCTGCAACTCAACCAGTCCTTAAGAAGCAGGGTACCAGCTTGTTTCTTGTCTCAGTAACTTACTGTCTTCCCAGGGGTCAAGCTCCTAGCCCACAGGCAGGTTTCAGGCCTGGACTTGTCCATGTTTATTTCTCACACCCCCTGTGAATCTACACTGTAGTATAGACCAGTGGTCGGCAAACTGCGGCTTGCGAGCCACATGCGGCTCTTTGGCCACTTGAGTGTGGCTCTTCCACAAAATACTACGTGCGGGCGCGCATGTACAGTGCGATTGAAACTTTGTGGCCCATGCGCAGAAGTTGGTATTTTGTGGAAGAACCACACTCAAGGGGCCAAAGAGCCGCATGTGGCTCGCGAGGCGCAGTTTGCTGACCACTGGTCTATACCCGAGTGTAATACTCAGAAAAGCTTCAATGATAGAATGAACCCAGTTACTTAAAACTCTCTAACCTTTGCCTTGTGTGAGTTTTCCTTTTGTTTTTGTTCAACATTCAACAAGCATTGACCAAGTAGCTTCTGTTATGAGCGGCAGGTCTTTTAGGAATGAGAAGGTGAAGGAAAAGATGCCCAAAAGCTGATTTCAAGAGAGTTGTGCTCTAGGGCCTTCTGAGCCTGCAACATTGTTACTAAATGTATCATTTAAATTAATAAATGTTCTAGGCAGCCCCCTCTTTTTTGCTTCTTTTTTATACTAGAAATGTGGTTTGTGAGATCATTGTAAGGGGCGGTGTACTGGGATAATTTTCCTAAATCAGTCCTCTATGCTCTTCCTTTAAGGGGTGACTTTTTTAAATTGATTTTTGAGAGAGAAAGAGAGAGAGAGAGAGAGAGAGAGAGAGAGAGAGAGAGATCCTTTTTTGTGCCACTTATTTATGCATTCACTGATTTATTCTTTTATGTGCCCTGACCAGGGATTGAACCCACAGCCTTGGTGTATTGGGATGACGCTCTAACCAACTGAGCTACCTGGACAGGGCTAGCATATGAGTTTTTAACACAAACTTATTGAAGTAAATACGGTACTGCCCTTTCTTTAATACTTGGCCAAAATTTTCAAAACCCTCTAATTACAGTTTTCTAACTAATTTTCAGACTCAACTTCAAAGAATTACGCAAGGTTTCAAGTGTCTGTGGTTTCTTCCATTTCCCTTAACTCTTAGTCAACCACTTCATTACATGGAACTTCTCTTATCTTGCATTTTGAACTCCTGCTCTTAAGAGCATTCTTGATCTCAATGCCAAGAGTACAGAACACTTTCAGTTCTAAATTTGAATTAGCAAAAGGTTTTACTTGAATGGTTATAGAGCTGTAGACATATTTTAATATCACTCAGAGGTGATAGTTCAGGTTTAAAGGTGGTGGACTGGAGAATTATAGTTAAAGGACACTCTTCCCTTGAATGGAGATAACATGAGTTGTAGAACTGGGAAGGAATTACTTTATTTAAAATCAGTTCTGTCTGTGAATTAGGAAATTGGATTATGGTCAACAATTTTATTTCATCATGGCGAAACTTCTATGTTATACTAGTTAGTTATTTGTTTATGCAACAAATAGTTTCTGAAAGGGTTGCCATGTTTCAGTTACTGTGCTCGCTCAGAACACACCAGAGAACAGGGCACAACCCCTGCCCTCTGGGCAATAATGACAATGCAAGGTCGAGGTGATGAAAGAACATGGGAAGGCTAAAAAATCTGGTTTTGAGGAGGATCAGGGAAGACTTTCTGAAATAAGAAATAAATAAGCATCTCAATCATTGGTTTTCAAATTTTAGGGAAACTTCTGATTCCCTAGGTCTGAGACTAGCCAAGAGTTTGCATGTTAAACAAGTGCCCCAGGTGATTCTAATGCAGAGGTCCTCAGCATACTCTTCAAAAAACTATTTATCTAAAACGCACTTTAGTTCCATTTCCATTTTCTTTTGTGTTACTCCTGGAAAAAATATAGTGGTTTGTGTGTGTGTGTGTGTGTGTGTGTGTGTGTGTGTGTCTGTGTGTGTTTTCACAGAAAAGAATGACAATTTGGTAACACATTGCAGAAAGGGTCATCACTTTCATTTTCCGCCTGTCATGATGTTTAATAGTCATTTGTTAAAAGAAACTGATAATTATCATAGAGTTTGCCTCAAGACCCAGCATTATTGCACAGATTTAAACCATAGTAGGTCAGCAAATATTTTTGTAGAAAAGAATCATGTAATTTAGTGAGATTTTGGAAATAGAATGTAAGTGAGAATGCACACAAATATATTAAGAAGCACTGTATGAATTAGAGCACAGTCACTTTTACAGAACATTTCACTCAATTTCCTTAGCACAGTAATTATTTTGTTAAGATGTAGGTCTTTAGTAATATTTTAAAAACATACTCTTAAAAACACTGACATTGATGATTTGAATTAGCATTTTATGAGAACACAATGTAATTTATAAAGCCAGACCATGAAGGACTCAGCTGATTATTGTCTAGAAGGGGCTTCAAATCTACCTTAATGGTACTGTATCAACCAATCAACCAGGGGCCACACTTCAATTTTTAAACAGCATATTAAATAATTGAACAGCATATCAAATTATGTTTCGAGTAACTGTCACAGCCTAATTTTTTAGGCACTCTTGTAAAAGCTGTAAATGGTTCATTGAAGGTAGTGTTGAAGCCAAAAATGCTAATGCAAGGCACATGGAAATCCTAAAAGAAACTTGGCATGAAACAAGGAATGAACTTGCTGCTGGAAATAACAGATTATACAAAAACTCAACCAGTGGTTTTAACTGAAATATTTATACACAGATGCAGTAAACTTTTACAGTAAACAGGCTTATGATCTAACTTTCTCTCTTTGCATCAATACATGTTTTCATTCATGCCTTTGTTTAACCAATTTCATAATTGATTCCCCTGTACTTCATGACTTTTAAAACACCAGGCCAAGAGCTACAGGAAAAAAAATATTAGCTGTACTCCTAATTTCTGATTTTTGTTGACAGAAATTCCTTTGTCTCCAACTGAAAGAAAGCTGTTAGATATTCTATGATGATTGCCAGTGTGCCTATTATATTTTCCCCTGAGATGTGCTTAAGAAATTTCAAGGTGGTGCTGGTTCTTTTCTTCATAGATGCCATTATCCTATGTTCCAAAGAACATTAAGCATTAACCAAAACCCGACCTTTATGTGACTTAGATGTTATCACATTCTTTACAGTAGTTGTTCTTTCTTGGTGTTTTAAAAAATACTGTTTTTCATGTACATGACTTCAATTCCGTTCTACATAATAAAATCATCGTTGGCTGAGAGGATATAATGGCACAATTCCTATAATCACACAAGACTGTACATTTCACATGGCATGCCTAATTGCATTTTTCAAGGAATAAAATGATCTGAGTTTCTTTATTTTGAGGTTGAGCCAGATGAGAGAATAGCCCAAGGAATCCAGAAAGAATTGAAACTAAAATGTTTAATCAGCTCCAAGTCTATTCATCAGCATTGTGGCTCAACTGAAAAATAAATCTTAGTTGCAGGAACTTAAATTTATTGCATCAGTTCAATCGAAACAACTCTTTGATTCAGTGCCCATCGCCATTAAGTCATTTATTTGACTGGATAGGGAGGGCAGAGTTGGAAGCAAAATGGTGTCAGTAAACTCGGTTTCTAATTCCAGTTGTCACTACTACTTACGTGGCCTTGGAAAAAGCACGTCACTTTTGGTGCCTCTATTTCCATAAAATGATGGGATGACATTCAATAATCCCTCACGTCTCTTCTGGATAGGAAAATCAGTAAGTCCTTTAAAGTCATTGTTCTACTAGCACCTTAAAAGGTGACTCAGAAAAGAAGTCAAAGACCTTGGCCTGCTGACCTGCACCTACGGCTCCTCGTATGGAATGATTGAGTCATCCCAGACCACCCATTACTCACTCAGGGTTGACATCCTCACAACATCCTTGGGGAATGGATGAGATAAGACCCATTCTAACCTTTCTGAACCAATGACACAGCAACCTTAAAGCAGCTGGTTCAAAACATCAGAGAGGACAGATTCAGACCTGGGAATGTGTTCGAACAGCAGTCTCTTCATCCTCCCTGTGAGTCCTGCAAAGATAAACAAAAGATAAACAAGATAAACAGAAGATACTGGGGGTGTGGGTGCTGGGGAAGTATAGGGGTGAGGCTCTAATTACCTTCTGCAAATGTGCATATATCTGAAGGTGTTGGTCTGCATGTTCAAAATCGCCATAACCAATCAACCCAAAGGAGAACATATTATACTTACATTTCTTAGCCTGTCTGGAGACAAAACAAGTCACAGTCTTCAGAACGTGACTGAGTACGGCCTCTTCAATTAATGCTAAACAGAAATTTTAGGGCTAAACTGGGTTTAAATTTCAGCTTTAATTCCTTCCTGAAGGGTTATTTTGATATTAATATTTTCTGTATTGTATTAGCATGGAGCCTAATTCTAAAACATTTTCTTGTGTGAAATGAATATTTTAAAAATCCATCCCATTCAATGCATCTGCTATTTCCATTATAATTGATTTTTCTCCTAGACTGTATATAGCTCTTGGATTCTTAGAAATATCACAATGTTTTTCACAGCTCAGAGATTACATTCAAAATATAGTAGACTTAAATCCAGGTTGGATTTTAAGATGCAACATTTTGAAGCCAGAAGCAAATAAAATAACGTATTATTTGCAAAAGCACCTCTCAGAAAGCAATATGATAAAGAGGACAGGTCTTGGGATTTTATTTTACTTAACTTGGCCTAGGTTTTATTCTCAGTTCTAACATAAGCTCTGTAACCTTGAAGTAGCTTAAATATTAAAAAGCTCGACTCTGTCATCTGTAAATTGGGTGTGATAATTCTTTCCCTATCTGTTTACAAAAGGAGTATTGAGATCAAAGGAGCAAACTGATATGAAATATAATGCTTAAAACATCCAGATAGGATTAAACCTCATGGAAAAAAAATCACTTTACTAAAATGTCATGTCTACCCAGCTTGGACTACCATCCTAAAACTGTTTTTTGTTAGCATTGTCAGTTGGGTGTTCAACTATTCTAGGTGTCATTACCAGCAACTGAAGGAGCTTTTTAATGGAAGAAATGATTGAGAATAGCCAAATATACTACAGAGTGAGAACAAGAAACAATTCATTATAGGTTAATTAAGTAACAAATAGGTAAGTGTGGACCTGGTGTTAACATCAGTTCCTCCTCATTGGGGAGTTGATCATTTCTCTGCCTTATGTGATCTGGAACCCTTATCTGCTCATCTTCTGATTCTGCATCTCCCAGTGTTTGTCCTCTGTGTTTCCTGTAACTATCCAGACTGGATGGAACTGTTGGTTCCCAGGATCTGGCCGTTCCACTTTAACTAGGGCTAATTTCTGGATTCCAGGAAATTTGCATTGGTCAGTTCCATCTGACTGAGAATGATCTTTCTGCTAAATGTGCTTCCTGTTCTGTTAGTTCTATTTATTGAATGTCTACCATGTGTTAGAGGTTGTTTGGGACCCACTGGATGCAAACATGCATCATTTATGAGGTACTGACTGTGAGGAACACTTGATCCAGTTCTCTATCCTTTCCTGTTCAGCCTTGCATTTCTTTGAGCTGGTTTGTAAGGATAGCGGGGTGTTGAATATACTTGAGGTTTTGGTAAGATGAGAAAATTGTTTATGTTGAGTGACTAGAACATGACCCCTCTGTTGTGTAAAATGTATAGAATCTAAGGTACCTCCTGGATCTCCACTTCCACTTCCTCCTTTTTAATGTCTATTATTAAGACACATTTTTTTCAGTTAAAGGCTTTAATTAAATACAAGTCTTGATGTTTTACTTCAAAAATGTACACTTAGCAATACATGATGGAGCCTTCACTTTAACTCTTTAAAAATGTTATCAACACGTGTTCTTAGCATCAGAAATTCTCAGGATGAGAAGCAGCATTAAAGGACATATAATTAATGCCTGAATTTTCTCTCAGCATTTTTGCTAACAAGCTTCTGTTGAAAAAAAGTGTTCCCTCTGTCTACCTAGGCAACCCATTCTCTCCTTGGACAGTTGAAGCTGTGAGACTGAATCTCCGGTTACTGGGCAAAATGTTAGTATTAGACTGGGGCGGAATTGGCCCAGGGAAGTCATATTAATGAATATCTAGACACAAGATGTACTCCAGTCACTAGGACTTATACTGAGAAATTCTTTTGTCTTGCTCTCATTTGTTGAGATTATTAACTACTATAATCAGGAAATGTATTTCCCAAAGGGGCAAAGTGTACCTTGAAGTGGTAGGATTCTTAAAGACTCAGCTTTATAATCACAGCACACTGATGAGAATTATTGATGATTAGTGATGATAGTAAACTAATATTTCTTTATGCATTAGCAGGCACGGTGTTAAGCATTTAAGGCATTCTTTTACTTAATCCCTCATAAGGGAAATACCACCTACAGATGTGATGAGGACTAAATGAGATAAGACAAAAAAAAAAAAAACCACTTGAAACCACGCCTGTCTGGGAGAACTATAAGTCTGGGGAATGTAGCCAGGACTGTGATCAATTACTTCCTTCTCTTAAAGGGAAGGCTGGTGCAGGCTGGCAATAGATAACTGCCCTCAGTATTAACTCACATTGTTTTACCTGATACTATTTTCAACCTGCTGTGAAACTCTACCCAGACCCTGAGTCGACCCTGTACTGACTTCTCTTGGCAATTCCAGCATATTCTACTTTTCACTGCTGATTAAGTCTGTTTTGGGCAGAGGCTGATCTGAGGCCTGAGCACAGTGAAACAGAATCCACAGCCAACAATAAAGAGTGAGCCTGGCTGGTCATGATCAGAGACTTGACCTTAAAGTGTTGACACAACAGCTGAAAGACATGAACACCCAGAATGGGCAAGTCACAACAGCTCCTGCAAGCTGTGGGGACTAATGTACAGACAATGACGAGCATTTCAGTAACACTGTCCAGACAATATGTTGCAGAGCAACCTGAGGGCCAGCCCACAACACTCAGCATTCTTAACTTGTTTACGTGGAACTAGAGGAAGGAGAACTCAGTGATTACTAGAAAATGTTTCATTTCTAGTGTAATCTTGGGGGCAACTTCCTTTATGGAATCCCAGAATTTCCACCCACCATTCATCATGATTTATAATAATGCACCCATAAGTCTAATCTCCAGCGTGGAACACTGGAAGAGGGTGGTCTTTGTTTTCCTTTAACATGATGAGAATATAGAGAAGTTCTTGACTTTTCCAGATCCCAATCACTGTATATTTGAAAATATGCTTAGCAAAATTTTGAATAGTAGAGGGATTAAAATTTAGCTAACAGGAAACTTCATAATGGTTTAGCCATTCTCAGATTATCTTGGTCAGTCTGCATGTCCTCGATCATAGTTAATTAGTAATTTCTTAGACAGAAATTTTGAGAAAACGGGCAGAAATCAGAAGCTTAAGTAGAGATTTATGAAAATTGGGAATGGCAGGGAAAGGAAAATGTGCTTTTTCACTATGTATATTAGGCATTTAACTTAAAAAATGAACCGTATTTGTTTTTAAAAAATCAAAACAATGCATGTTCAAAAGTTTAAAACTTAAATACAATAACAAAACTTAGTGTGAACTTCTCTTCCCTTCAATCCAAAATCCATTTCCACTTTCAAACATTTTTGTAGTTTCTTCTGTTATCAACTTTTATAGTTATACACTATATTTATTATGCTATTTTTTGTTTATTTATTTATTATTATTATTAATCCTCACCCAAAGATATTTTTCCATTGATTTTTAGAGAGAGTGGAAGGGAAGGAGGAGGGGAGAGAAAGAAAAAGGCAGAGAGAGAAATATCGATGTCAGAGAGACACATCAACTGGTTACCTCCCTCATGTGCCCTGACCAGGGCTGGGGATTTAACCTGCAACCCAGGTACGTGCCCTTGACAGGGAATCAAGGCCTCAGGTGCTCTAAACACTGAGGATACTGACTAGGGCTATCATGCCTCTTCTTTTATTTTGAAAACTTTTAGACATTGCCTACTGAATAATAAAACTTCCTCTAGGAAAAACAAAAATTATCTCTCTTATCTCAAGCCCTTTCTCTGTAGGCCTACTGTGATTATGTCAAAATTTCGAGTTAAATTAGTAGAACTAGAACAGGCTATCAAGCTGATCCAGGTTGAAGAATGGAAGAGAATGATGACTTTTTACTTGGCTACTTGTTTTTACTTGAAATTATGATCAAAGCAACAAACAAGCAATGGAAAAGATACACCCAAGGACCAAGCTATAACTGGGTGCACCCTGGCCCTGGGTGCTTCTCTTTGTTTCTCTCTAAGGTTCAGCCTGGGTTCAGGGACTCAGCAGCCCACAAAACAGACAAAATGGAATGTGATGTCATAGCGATTGACTTTCCTTTGGTGATGGTGGTGAGCATTAGGCTATGCCAGCACTCTAGGGCTTACACTTTTATTATATACTAGAGCAGCGGTTCTCAACCTGTGGGTCGCGACCCCTTTGGCGGTTGAACGACCCTTTCACAGGGGTCGCTTAAGACCATCCTGCATACAGATATTTACATTATGATTCATAACAGTAGCAACATTACAGTTATGAAGTAGCAACAAAAATAATTTTATGGTTGGGTCACAACATGAGGAACTGTATTTAAAGGGCAAGAAAGGTTGAGAACCACTAGAGGCTCAATGCATGAAATTTGTGCAAGGAGCTCAGCCCTCGTGGCCCCAGCTGCCTTGGCCAGCCCTAGCAGCCCTGGCTTTGTCCGGAAGGTCATCTGGAAGGTTGTCCAGATGGTCATTCTGCTGCTTGGTCTAATTAGCATATTAGCTCTTTATTATATAGGATTGGTTGGTCTATAAAATAATTCTATTCAAAAACATTTTTAACTTCTATCTAAAAATTCAAAATAGTATACATGTTAATGTACAGTAAAGTAAAAAATACCCTTATTTATATTGATTATCTGAATATTTAAAATATTACAAGAAGAACAATTATAGGTATTTATCTATGTATTGTAATCATTTAAAGCTTTAATTAGATCTAATATGACATCAGAAA